GCAAGGAGGTGAAATTCCTGATGAGATTGACATTTTTTCTCCCACTCTATTTGAGTGAGGAAGAATCACCTTGTAGTTGCTGAATTCCTATAGCTTCAAGATTACGTGTAGCATGACACATGTTACTATTGCCAAGTACCCAATTGCAGACTCAATTGTGGGGAGGAAGGAAGGAGGTAGGTAGGGAGATGGACTGGGTTGTAGAAGGTTAGGGGAAAAACAAATAAAACAAAAGTTTTTCATTGTCTCTGTTTCAACAGTCTAACAAAAGAGGGAAAGAGAAACGTGGAAACAGTAGTCCAGTTGAGGAATAAAAACAGGAGAAGGTAGGTGGTAATCACCGTAGGGAAAAAACGGGATGGGGAGGGATGGAGAAAAGTAGAGGGGAAAAATTGGGTAAAATAGTTGAACCCCTGCATCTGTGATCTAAAATGCGACCCAAAGTTTTGTCGAATGCGATGATATACAATATTGCTTATGTGTTCTCTCTCTTTTCTCTATCTTCAGTCCGTGTCTCTGTCTGTTTAGCTCCACTTACGTTAAAGCTCTCTTTGCCTATTTTTTTTTTCTCTATTTATCTATTTGTTTATTTGCCGTTTCTTTCTCTCTGCCTTCTCTGTCTTCTCTATTCTCCACCTTTCTCTGTCTACCCCCCCTCTCTCTCAGGGGGGAGGTAGCATGATAAAGAATGACTATGTAAGTGTCACCAGATCAAAGAGAGAGAGGCCTGGCTCATGAGGCAACACGCAGGCTGTAGAGGACCCAATGGGTGTAGGCACGGGACCTGTAAGAGGTGTAGTAGTAGTGTAGTGGTGGCAGTGGTGGCAGTATAGTGTAGTAGTAGGGTAAGTATGTAGTTTATGTAGTGCAGTGTAGGTGCAGTGGTGTATAGTGTATAGTGTAGTGTATAGTGTAGTAGTGTAGTGCATATGGTAGTAGTGGTATATAAAAAGTTATTGGTCAGGAAGGCTGCAGTGGAGGCATGTTGAGTGTTGTATCCCTGAAGCCGGTGCAGGTTTTTGTTATGCTTCCTGTTATAATTACTTTTTATCTTAGTTTAGTGTAATAGTGGACCCAAACTGATCTTTGGGGGATTCATTTATAATAAGTAGTAAAGTTTCATAAAAATCTTCAAGAGAATTAATTATGTTTAATATGATAGATCGTTGTGATTAATGTTATTTGCGGGAGATAGTACCGCAGTAACGCCATCACGCTTGGTCCCATCATGTTTTAGATCACTGGCAAATACCTATTCATTATATTTCTGTATGAAAAAACATCCCAGTGTTTATGTGGAAAAATATTGTTGGGGAACTGCACAACATTACAGATTCATATAAAAAGAATACTTAGCTTAGATATACTTAAACATAGCTTATTTATGTTTTTAAATTATGCTGAAAGATTATTGGAGGAAATGGATCTTATAATAATTTCCATTGTTACATTTATAGAAACAACAGAAGACATTGTAGTGTGGGTATAAAACGTCATATCTGTATATATTTAGAATGCTAAATAAGATCTAGCCAGGTGCAGAAAATATTCATCCCCTGATATATCTGCCAGCCTGCAAAACACCACTCATAACTCAGGTCTTGGAGCATCACCAACCCATTTTTTCAGTGTTGTGTGTGTGATTACTGAACACAGCCAGCGTATAGGACGGGGGGGGTCATCCGTGTGGAGTTTTCGACAAGTGTTCAAAGACTATTTATTTAATTTTCCGCAATGAGCGGCAATATAGAAAATGCAAGAAGAGTATTAGATCTCGTGCAAAAATTTAGACGTTACTGTTACTTAGGTTACTGTGTTATGTTAATATTGCTAGGGTGTATTGTAAACTGGGATCTGGGGATACTGACTATGGGGGAGAGGGTATGTATCAAGCATATATCGGGAATCTTACATTGCTTGACCTCTATAGTTATTGTATATTTTAGTCTTCATTGTATAATTTATGAGAAGTGAAACTTGTAATCTGTTTTATTTGTAATGGTTCGTGTGTTAACAGTAAAAAAGAGCAAAATTCACCCTAGCATCATACTGCCTGTCAGCATTAGCCTGCTTTAGACACCACCTGCCTCCTCCCTGCCTCCCTCCCTCCCCACCCTTTTTTTGTCATCACTAATCAAACAGACTCTACCTGTAAAACCCCATTGTTACACACACCTGCCGGGACTTTTATTGAACCTGCCTGCAAACCCTTCTGTCTAGTGGTGGAAGAATTTTATCCCCAGAGAGAGAGAGAGAGATACGTTCCTGCAAAAAAAAGGTATAAGAGGTGGAATTCTAATGATATTTGATTTTTTACCTATTTATGAGGAAGAATCTTACTTGTATGGACTCAGATTAGTATTATTAAAATTAATTGGGAGAAGAAGGAGTGGGTAGGGAGATGGACTGTTGTAGAAGAGTAGAAAAACAAACAAAACAAAAAGCTTTTTCACGTTCTGTTTCTCGTCTATTCAATAAAAGAGTGGAAGAGACTGGTGAAAATGAGAATTCAGTTGAGGGAATAAAAACAGGAGGAAAAATTGGTGAGGATCTTGATATCATCGTTTTTCTCTCCTTTTTTCTCTATCTTTCTGTGTCCGTGTCTCTCTCTCTCTCTGTCTGTTTGTCTTTAATTTTATTTGTGTTTCCCTCTTGTCTATTTTTTTCTCATTTTATCTATTTGTTTATCGCTGTCTCCCTTTCTCTGCCTCTCTGTCTCTCTCTATTCTCCACCTTTCTCTGTCTACCCCCCCCCCCCTCTTTCTCAGGGGGGAGGGGTGGCATGATAAAGAATGACTTATGTTGCCACCAGGATTGCAAGGATGAGAGAGAGAGGCCTGGTCACTGATGAGGCAAATAACACGAGGCTGTATAGTAATGGGACCTGTAAGAGTGTATAGTGTATAGTGTAGTGTAGTGTATAGTGTATAGTGTAGTGTATAGTGTAGTGTATAGTGTAGTGTATAGTGTAGTGTATAGTGTAGTGTATAGTGTAGTGTATAGTGTAGTGTATAGTGTATAGTGTAGTGTATAGTGTAGTGTATAGTGTAGTGTATAGTGTAGTGTATAGTGTGTTATTGGTTGTGAAGGCTGCAGGCGTGAGGTGGCTGTTGTGTGTTGCGAATCCCCGGGAAGGAAAGTAGGTTTTTGTTATGTATTTCCTGTTATAATTGGCTCTTTTATCTGGGTTTAGGTGTATTAGTGGACTCATCCGATCTCTTGTGGGGATCAATGGCATGTTTTAGTAAGTCTATAAAAACCTTCAAGAAAAATTATCATGTTTACACGCATGATAGGTCACAGACGTTGTCGCAGGGGAGATAGGTCACAGGCACGCCATCACGTTTGGTCCTATCATGTTTTAGAGATCATAAAATACCCATTCATTATATTTCTGGTATGAAAAATCATCCCAGTGTTTATGTAGCAAATATTGCTGTAGAACTGTAGTACAACATTATACAGACCGTGACAGCATCAGTACTAGCTTAGATATACTGCACATAGTTTATTTATGTTTTTAAATTACGTTTTAAAGATTACGGAGGAAATTTGACCTTATAATAATTTCCATTAAGTTATATTTATAGAAACAACAGTTATCAGTGTGGTATAAACGTCACATTCTGTATATATTTAGTCACAACAAGACCTGCCAGGTGTACAGGTAACGAGTCTTGCCCCCCGATATTTTCAGCCTGTAAACACCACCAACTCATTTTTCAGTGCTGTGTGTGTGATCACCGAACACAGCCAGCGTATAGGACGGGGGGTTATCCGTGTGAGTTTCGGACAAGTGTCTCAAAGATTAATTTATTTAATTTTCCAATGAGTGGCAATAAAAAGAAAATGCAAATAGTTAGGACAGATTCTCAGTAAAATTTAGACGTTACTGTTACTTTAGGTTAATACTGTGTTATGTTAATATTGCTAGGGGCGTATTGTAAACTGACTGGGATACTGACCATGGGGGAGGGAGGGGTATGTATCGTTAATATATCGGGAATCTTACATTGCTTGACCTCTATAAAGGATTTCTGTATATTTTAGTCTTCATTGTATAATTTATGAGAAGTGAAATCCTGTAATCTGTTTTATTTTGTAATGGTTCAGTGTGTTAACAGTAAAAAGGTTTTATTAGTAAGTTTCAATTGTTTTGGAGTTTCATGGAGCTTCGAATATGTGCCTCTGAGCTAATCTAAAGTTCATCTTACAGGCAGTTTGGTTCTGGTGTTTGTTCTGGCCGGTGTGGTGCCCATGTCCTCCGCCCTGAGCCCTGTCTGTGCTGCTGAGGAGTCGTAGCCGAGGTTTGGGCGACTAGTGTGTATACCCCTGGGGAGGTGCTGGTGTCTGGAGGTGGCGTGTGTGTTTATTGCTGCCGTGTTGTAGGCTGTGACTCTAGATTGTGACGGCCATCGACAAGCAGCAGCTGGCTTCAAACTACTGTAAGTACCTGACCATTCTCCTTTAAGTTTCATTAGGAATTTGTTAATGTATTTCATTATTTAAACTATATTGGGCCATAATTCTGGAAACATTAGCGTACGAGCCTTGCATTCATACTGAGGCCGGGGATAGTCAAGTGACGGTGGTGTTATGATTCTCACCTGAGCTAATACCTGTTACATGAGTCGCTGTCATTCTAGGAGGGAGGGGGAACTGTCTCCCTTCATGGATAATATTTGAAAGATTCGAGTTAGATGTGATGCGAATAATGTTTGAGTATTTTTTGTTAATTTGATTCACTCGTTCAGATCCTCATGCCAGTGTTTGTGGAATATTTACTCAGTGGCTGATTACAATGACCAGGTTAGGTTAGGTTAGGTTCTTACGATTTTTTTTTATTCCTTCCCCAATGCTTCGAAGCCCCGTCCACCGACTTATTTCCTCCCATGAGCTTATATCGTGGTAGGAACAAACTTCATTGGGTTACCAGCGACGATTTTTCCTTTTCGTGAGCACTTACATAATGGTGGGAACAAACGCAAGTAAATCGATGAAAATTTTTACCATTTAATTGAAGGAAAAATACAAACTAACGCTAACAGGAAGAGATTTATATGCAGGATATATACAGTGATTCTTGACCAATTTATATACACAGAATCTACAACTAATGTATATAAAACAGATGAAATAACAGTATTGGTTATGATAGAAAGATTAACGCTGTAGCAGATCTGTTTTGCCTTTTAGCTATTAATACAAACTGTTTCCATAAGATATAATGCTTTTAAGCCAAGTCCAAAAGTCTATTAATTGGACACACAAATAGCCTCTATATTTTAGCAGTTAATTGTAAGTCCAGACAGAGCAGAAACACAGTGAATCCAAAATGTTAATAATAATAATGCTTGAGTGATTGAGTTTTATGAGATTTTATATCCGCCTGAGTTACATAATTATGGGCATCTTGAGACGATAAGAAACATTATTATACTCAACACTTCATAATCTATAATACTTTGGGTATAGAACTTTATTTCATGTTGAGTCATTATTATCTTACCTCATAGAGTTCACCTTTGTGTTAGGATGGACAGGTATATAATAATTACTATATGTTGAAACACTTAATTAACTCCTATTATTATTATGGTGAATGTGTGGATGATTGTATAAAAAAAATAAGGTTTAATGTAATGGAAGGAGGCAACATTAACTATAGCCCCGATAGATACGTTGTGGTTAACGTGATTGGTGTAGATCAGGTTTACATTATCGCGTTGATATTTTTTTTTTTGCCCACCTTTTTATAACTATTTACGTAACCCGTAAATATGGCTTGACGTTACCTGAACAGCAAGTCTTATTTATTATTTATTTATTTTTATAAAGTCTAGTATCGTTCTTTGGCCACTACAAGCCCTCCAAGAGATGTTGAGAATTATCATGGAGATGGGTGGGGAGGTGGAGGGGGTACAGTATGTTTATTTTCCTGTTTCCATTTATTTCCTTCCCTGTTTGTATAGAGCAATTTGTCCTGTCGGAATTTTTGAAGATTTTACTTGATTTTAAGGGGATAATTTTTCTTTAAGTGGTGTGTGTGTGTGTGTGTGTGTCAGTCCTACACTAAGCGACGGGGCTTGTGTACTTGAAGATCTTCTCTAATTCCCTCTTGTAGTTGAAGACATTATTTTCCTTCGCCGTTATCTCCATCTGTCGTTTGTTGGCAGCTGCTATGCGTCTCTCTAAGCAGATTTCAATGTCCTCGTTCGCCATAAGACTGGTGAGTCTGAGATCCTCGACGATGGGGTGGTTGGGGCCCAGACCATTAACGACGTGTGGTTCAGCTTCCTCCAGACAGCGGATACCGTCTCGGAATTCCTTGAAGTAGATCTTTGCTTTACCTAACTTGAAGAGGAAGAGGCCGAGGGTAGGATGTTCCGACCCGTAGTAGTACCTGGAACCATAACACGCATACATGTTCTTATTTGTCTATTATGAAAACAATTAATAAAAACTCGATGAAAATATTGACAGTAAGGGTTAGGTGAGGTGAATTGAAGTCAAGTAAGGTGAGGTGAGGTGAAGTGAAGTGAAGTAAAATAAGGTGAGGTGAATTGAAGGGAAGTAAGGTGAGGTGAATTGAAGTGAAGTAAAATAAGGTGAGGTGAATTGAAGGGAAGTAAGGTGAGGTGAGGTTAGGAACATATGAGTACAATGGTCTACTTCGTCTACTCGACCATAAAGTGGAGAAAAAAGTTACAGGAGAAATCACACACAATAGAGACCCATATAAGGTAAACATGTAAAGGTTATCCCACTTCAGCTTACACCCGGGTTCGATCCCCGGGCAGGGTGAATCTATGGGCAAGTTTCTTTACACCGTTTGCCTCCGTCTACCCAGTAGTAATTGAGGACCTGGATGTTAATCGATTTGTGGATCGTATTCCGGGGTAATGGTTAGCCAGTGCAGTTGGCGAGTTGTCCGGTCTTCTCGGACTATTCCTTGACACTGGGTCATGCAGCTCGTTAACACAGGGTGTGGTTGTTGTGTTGGCGACAGCTTCTACACCTTAAACAAATTCACGGTCAGGTGCTTCTCTATATGACTGATTGATGGTTAATTATAGTATACACCGTACATGTATTGTCGTATATGTATAGATAAACCGGTTATGTATATGTTTGTAGATAAATCAATGGAAAAATGTATAAGATAGAATGATAGATAGATAGATAGATAGACAGACAGCTCGTCACTCGCTGGCCGACAATGTTATGGTGTGTGTTGTCACCATAATCATGAACGACCGCTGCACTTCAACACTAATACCCGGACCTAAACTATTTCAACGGGGTCATGCCATAGGAGTGCTAATTACCCTTGACACCCAACCCATTCCCCGTTGCATATTGGACATTTAATCATCAATCATCCAATTACTCACATAAGCTATGACGTTATGTGTAAACGAAACGTAATCTTCGGAATTCGATAATATTTTGTGTGTGTGTGTGTGTGTACCTCCTCTTCCTACTTCACTCTTCTAGTCTTCCTTTAATTCCTTTCCTCCCTTCTCCCTCCTTCCTCTCCTTCACCCCCTTTTCCCCTATCTCCCTTTCCCCCCCTCTCCCTCCTCATCTCCCTTTCTCCCTTACCTCATACCACACAGGTTCTCTTCGCCGTAGGTAAGGGCGCGGATCCAGCAGCCATTGTACACACAGGCGTTGAAAGCGAAGTCCGTCGTGCGAACTCTCCACACGTTCATACTGGAGAAGTTGTCCTGCTTCTCCAGGATCTCCAAGCAGCTCTCCAGGGCTGTGTCAATCTCGTTAAGGAAGAAATTTATTTGTAACTTTTTAATGAGATAAATATGTTGGTATCTGCTATCCGAAATGATTTGGATTTATGCACTGGTTAAGGAAATCGGGTCTGTCTGTCTTTGTCTGCTTATCTCTCTGTCTCTCTCTTCCCCCTCTCCTTTTCTGTATGTGACTGTGTCTGTCTATCTGTCTTTTTCCCAGCTGTATAAAATGATGTAAACTGATAAACGGTGTGGACAGTGAGAGGAGGAGGAGGAGGTGGAAGAAACATAGAAATAATCTCATTGGGTTAGTTAGTCCATAAAATTGTCAATAAACTTAGGTGATAAAACATAGGAGCAGAGAGTTGTTTCCTGGTGGTGAGGTTAAAAGGATACTGGGGTTCTCCTCGGACATGGTACTGAGTTTCTCTTTAGTGAAGGTGACGGCCAGCTGGTATTGTCTGATGGCTAGGTCGCTGACGGGACAGTTACACACACTGCACGCCGGTGGCTCCTCCTCCTCTTCCTCCTGACGCTGGTTGTCTCGCTGTTGTTTCCCGTTTTGCTGTTGTTTGTCACGCTGTTTTTCCTCCGTTGATGGCTTCCGCTGTATTTCATTGCCCCATGTCTTCTGTTGTTCATCTTTCGTTGTCTCCTTCTGTTGTTCACCGTTCGTGGTGGCCTTTTGTTGCCACGCTGCACGCTTCCATCTGCTCATTTCAGGGACAGTCACGGGCGCCTGGCAGTTAACATTTTCTGTACGGCGAGAGGAGAAGGAATCATGAACACGAAGACGCGAAGACATTACTGATACATACAACCTCCCATACTCATCCCACAACCTCCCACACTCCCTCACTCATCCCACAACCTCCCACACTCCCTCACTCATCCCACAACCTCCCACACTCCCTCACTCGCCACACAACCTCCCACACTCCCTCACTCACCCCACAACCTCCCCCCTCACCACCCCCACCTCCACCTCATCCCACCCTCCTCCTCCACACTCCTCACTCATCCCACAACCTCCCACACTCCCTCACTCGCCACACAACCTCCCACACTCCCTCACTCACCCCACAACCTCCCCCCTCACCACCCACACTCACCCCCCTCCCTCCAACACTCACCACACTTGATGGTGTTCTCGAACTTGACTCTCCCTTCGTCGTGACAGAAGCTACAGTCACACCAGAAGAACCATTTCTTGTAGAGGTTCTCCCGACGGCTAGTGACGCTGCAGACAGGGTCGGTGTAGCTGATCCGACACTGTTAAAACCCCGAGAAAAAGTCGACTTTGATAATGGTTAAGGTGGGAGCTTGGTCAGATCAGTAGATGGTTAAATTAATGAGGTCTTACTTTAGGACGTGGTTACATAGAAGAACTAAGAGAGAGAGAGAGAGAGAGAGAGAGAGAGAGAGAGAGAGACTACCCTACCCTACCCTACCCTACTGGGACAAACACACCAGCCACCTTCTTACATAATCTCAACTTGACATTAGTTTTTTCCTAAGCAGTTAATTGTAAAGTGAAACAAATGGTCCCTTTCTTTCATTTGTGTTGACAAGATTATATGACCAGGTGACTGTACTGTACGTTGCTCATATATCAATAATAGACCCTACCTGTATACAGTACCACCCGGCAATAACACACACATTAGTTTGTATTAGTTATTAAAATTATTATTATTATTCCCCGCCTTGTGGCTTATCAGCTTCATATATACGTAATAATTTGTCTTAAAGCCTTTCGTTATCTTAGTGTCAGGGCTATACAGTGTCTTAACTCACTCGCTGGACGTCAGTGGGTCGAGGAGCTGCTACTTCTTGTTAGGTTATCACAGCAATATCTCCCCTACCCTGGTATAAGCTGTTCTTGTTGTTCTTATCTCAATATAATAAACTTCGTCGTAACATTAACTCACAAAACGACAAAACAATAACAAAACGTAGTGGAAAACATAGGTGGCATATGACGTGTTGTTAGCCTGTAGTACACACGGACACACACACACACACACACACACGGAGTCTTGGCCACTAGTGTTAAGAGCTGCCAACTGAGTGTGTATATATAAAAATAAACCCTGGCTAGTTTTGTCTCAGGTGATCGCCACAGGTAAAAATAGTAGCTAGCTGAGGTGATTTATGGACTCCGCCTTATTTGAGAGTAGAGGGTCAACTGCCAGGGTTAGGTTCGGGTAGGTTAGGTTAGGTTAGGTTGGGTTGGTTTAGGTTGGGTTGGTTAGGTTTAGGTTGGGTTGGTTTGGTTTAGGTTGGGTTGGTTTGGTTTAGGTTGGGTTGGTTTGGTTTAGGTTGGGTTGGTTTGGTTTAGGTTGGTTTAGGTTAGGTTATTACTACGTTAGCGTCTAAGTGTGTTTTGATACCTTTCTCACCTGTATTTTACCTTTATGAGCCAGATACCTGTACTGTTGTTTAACGTCGTTAGTTAGGTGGAGAATTTTACATGGTTATTGGTATTCGGAAATCCATTCAAAGATAATATAAATTGAAGTTAGTAAATATTAAATAGATTGGCTGTAATATAAAAAAAAAGGTCACCACGAAGGAATTGTTTTCATGTTAAGGACAAGAATATTTTCCGATTTAACTTTTTTTTTTGAGGCAGTGTAGTGTCAATGGTTACAAAGCCCCCTTCACATGGTCTCAGTTGGCACTTCACTATTTCTGAAGCCTGTGTGGGTGGGTGGGTGTGCCTGTGGGTGTGCCTGTGGGTGTGAAGAGACATTATGGTTTTCCCAATATACACTATTATTTTGCTTTGGGAGTCACCTTAAGGAACATAATTGGCACGACCCCGTAAACACACACTGTGAACGTTTCCTGTAAGCAAGCACACACACACACACACATACACATACACATACACACAGGCTCCAGAAATAGTATCATACCATATTCGAATCCCCGATCAAGTTATTTATTATTATTATTATTATTATTATTATTATTATTATTATTATTATTATTATTATTATTATTATTATTATTATTATTATTATTATTATTATTTTCATTATCATTATCATTATTATATCTTACAATTGTTTACTCGATTATACGTTTTTGTTTAATGTTTACTGAAGAGAAGGATAATGAATGACTAAACTTACCTGTAATTAATGGATATGACAGGTGCAGATGTGGGGTGACTGCTTATGTCTCTTGGTGATGTAGTGTTTTTATTTATTTATAATTAAAGTCTTGGGTAATTTGTTAAGGGTGGTTCAGAGGTTGACTTATGAGACAGACAGACAGACAGACAGACACATCCGCCATTAGACCTCCTATTAGATTCTCCATTAGACCCCTATTATATACGCCATTAAACTCTATTAAATCCACCATTAGATCCCTATTAGATTCCCCATTAGATCACAAGTATATACCCCATTGGTTTCCCCATTAGTGTCCCCCATTAGATCTTCAATTTTCTCCCTTAAACGGATCGAGTAAGATTAGTTTAGTTCAGTCATGGTGAAGGTTAGCCCTGAGGTGTCTTATTACCCTTGCCCTGCCCTGCCCTGCCCTGCCCTGCCCTGCCCTGCCCTGCCCTGCCCTGCCCTGCCCTGCCCTGCCCTGCCCTGCCTTGCACACCTTTGTTCCCCTCTGCCATCATTCATTCATCAATTCTTTAATCCTTCTCTTCCTTCTCTATTTCCCTCTTTCTCTCTCACACCTCTCCTTCCTCTCCCTGCTTCATCCACCCTTCCACTCTCTGTTCCATATCTTCCCCCCCTCCCTTTTCTTGGTCTTCTCTTCCTTTTCCCCTTCTCTCTCCCTTATGCCTCTCCCCTCTCCCTAAATCCTCTCCCCTCTCCCTCATGGCTCCCCCTTCCCTCCCTATTCCATCTCTCCCTCTTTTCTCACCCATTCCGTCCCTTTCCATTTGTTGTTTCCCTTTACCTTGCTATAGCTAAAGTTAGGCATATCGACGAGGGCTCTGATCTGCACGTTCTTCCCGTCGAAGGAGATGTAGCAGTTAGGCTTGCAGGCGTGGTCGAAGATGGAAGCCGAGAGATACATGGCCGAGCCTATGTTCATCATGGTCTTGTCCAACAGGCAGAATCTGTTGACCAGCATCTGTGTGAGAGAGAGTGAGGTCAGGGTGTGTTAAGATGGTGCGGTACAGTAACTTGGAGGTGGAAGTCTTTGATAGGGGTCGTTTTTTGCTAGGAAGGGTCGTTTTAAGGGGTTTGTTTTGCTAGAAGGGTCGTTTAAGGGGTTTGTTTTGCTAGAAGGGTCGTTTTAAGGGGTCGTTTTTGCTAGAAAGGGCGTTTTAAGGGGGTTTGTGTTTTGCTAGAAGGGTCGTTTTAAGGGGTTTGCTTTGCTAGAAGGGTCGTTTTAAGGGGTTTGTTTTGCTGAAGGGTCGTTTTAAGGGGTCGTTTTTGCTAGAAAGGGCGTTTTAAGGGGTTGTTTTGCTAGAAGGGGTGTTTTAAGGGGGTTTGTTTTGCTAGAAGGGGCGTTTTAAGGGGGTTGTCTCGTTAAAGGGTCGTCTTGTTTTAGTCGTTCTGGGATAAGATGATAAAATAGTTCACTTGTGTCATAGAGATATACAAAAGTGTAAACATAACCCTGTGTCTGTCTGTCTGTCTGTCTGTCTGCTCTGTCTGTCTCTGTGTATGTAAGGACAATACACTAACATGACGAAGGAAACAATCCATTCACCATACTGTACGGTGCTTCTTCCTCTGATGATTCAAGTCTTCCCATCTCACCTTTACCTGGTCCCTGGCAGGTGTATCAGTATAATAACAATAACTCAACTTCTCTCCACACCACCACCTAACTTCCTAGTGACTCTATTTCCCCTTCCCTCCCCATGTTCCCCTTTTGGTGATTCCACTTCCTCCCCCCCCTTCTCTCACCTGGCCCCCTGGTGTGAGGTATGGTAATAAGCAGGTGCCAATAGTGGGGTTCTGACACAGCCAACACCAGGTGGGAGTTGAGTCAGTGAGAGGTGAGGATGGGACAGGTGAGGAAGAGGAACACATGAGGGTGGGGGAGGGGGTGAGAGTTTGAAGGCTCACGTGGAAATAACAAGGGTGTGAGAGAGGCCGTGACAGTGTGTATACCTTGACATGACAGTTGACGCGATGGTGCACTTGGATATGGCAACGGAGTGACGATGCACCGTAACATGACAACAGATGTGACGATAAACCGGAATATAACAACAGACTGTGATAATATGACCTATCTGGGCGCCCGTGGTTGACAGGTGGAGCTTTATCCCCCCCTCCCTCCCTCTTCCCCCCTCCTCCCTCTCCTTTTCCCTCTCCTTCCTGTGTGCTGCCTATTTATGCCTTTATTTGACCTGTCCGTATGTTATCAGATGACCTACCTCTTATCCTTAGCTGGGACTGTGTGCGTGTGTGTAAGCTCTATCACTCACCTCACTGGGACCACCAACACACAGCACAAAACACTCAAACTATGCCAGTAGTTGACCTATTATAAACTTTCACGAGGCTATCTTGCTATCTCGTCCACCCTACTATCTCGTCACCCCTACCATTCTCTGTTTTCCCCAAGCTGGTAATGGACCTGAACTATTACTACTACTACTACTACTACTACTACTACTACTCTTGCCTCACCAGTACCAAACACATAAACAACATGGAGAAATAGGTTAGTATGTTAGGTGGTGATCTGGTGGTGGTGGTGGTCACATGTTCCCAAGACACGCATCCCTCAGTCGTCGGAAATTCCTCACTACAACACCCCCACGTCTCCGGATTCTCTGTAGATTCTACCAGTGTTGTGAGAGTCCATATAACTGGTTCATTAATGCTTACGATACAAAGTTAGGATTACTCAAACATTCTTAACGCTAACAATTTTTCTTTATATAGTTTACCTGAGAATGTGGATCGAATGTAGTTACTTTACTGTACGTTGGAGACACGAGAACACAAATGATTCATCACTAATACACACACGCAAAAAAAATTCTCAATTCGTAAATGGATGTTTTTCTAAGTGGTAGTGTGAGAACTGGTTTATAATAGTTACGGGTTATTCGTAAAGTTTCAATTGTTGTGAGACGTCAAACGGACCCTGAGTCATTATTGATTATAACATAAGATGGCGGATTCATATTAGTTTCGATAATCCGAGACTTTTATTTTATCTTAACTATTTATGATTTGTTAATTAATATTTAGGAAAATAAACCGAATGTTGTTAGTGTATGTGTGTGTGTGGTGTTTGTCTCGTGAAGCAGGAAGGAAGAGGGGTCAGGGGTGAGGGGGCAGGGGAGAAGCTACGGTATATTAGAGTTTGGATATTGTAGTGAAACTGTGTCGGCTACTGTAGGTTTATCGCTGTTTGTTTATCGCTGTTTTAAACTGTCCATTATCGCTTTATGCTGAGAGACTTCCCTCTTATTCTCTTGGCAGCAAAAGGGTTAGGTAGGATTAGGTTAGGTTAGGTTAGTGTTTCTTGCATGAGAGAACATAGAGTAAACACTTCGTCCCCCCTTCCCTTCCTTCACTTCCTCCCTTCACCCCCTCCCTTCACCAACCTTCCCTCTCACCCCTCCCCTTCACCCCTCCCCTTCACCCCCTCCTTCACCCCTTCCCTCTCACCCCTCCCTTCACCCCCTCCCTTCACCTCCCCTTCACCCCTCCCTTCACCCCTCCTTCGCCCCCTCCCCTTCACCCCTCCCTTCACCCCTCCCCTTCACCCCCCTTCCCTCTCACCCCTCCCTTCACCCCCTCCCTTCCCCCTCCACTACCTTCCCTTCACCCCTTCCTTCACCCCTTCCTTTCACCTCCCCTTCACCCCCTCCCTTCACCCCCTTCCCTCTCACCCCTCCCTTCACCCCCTCCCTTCACCCCCCTCCCCTTCACCCACCTTCCTCTCACCTCCCCTTCCCCCTCCTTCACCCCCCTCCCTTCACCCCCTCCCTTCACCCCTTCCCTCTCACCCTCCCCTTCAACCCCTCCCCTTCACCTCCCCTTCACCCCCCTCCCTTCACCCCGTCCTTCGCCCCTCCCTTCACCCCCCCCCCCTTCTCCCCTTCCTCTCACCCCTCCCTTCACCCCCTCCCCTTCACCCCTCCCTTCACCCCTTCCTTTCACCCTCCCCTTCACCCCTCCCCTTCACCCCTTCCCTCTCCACCCTCCCCTTCACCCCCCTTCACCCCCTCCCTTCACCCCCTTCCTCTCCCCTCCCCTTACCCCTCCCTTCACCCCCTCCTTCCCCCCCTTCCCTTTCACCCCTCCCTTCACCCCTCCCTTCACCCCCTCCCTCTCACCCCTCCCCTTCACCCCTCCCCTTCGCCCCTCCCCTTCACCCCCTCCCTTCACCCCCCTCCCCTTCCCCCCTCCCTTCCCCTCCCTTCACCCCCTCCCCTTCACCACCTTCCCTCTCCACCCCTCCCCTTCCCACCTTCCCTCTCACCCCTCCCCTTCACCCCCTCCCTTCACCCCCTCCCCTTCACCCCCTCCCTTCACCCCCTCCTACACCTTCTCTCTCACCCCTCCCCTTCACCTCCCTCCCCTCCCTTCACCCCTCCCCTTCACCCCTCCCTTCACCCCTCCCTTCACCCCCTTCCCTCTCACCCCTCCCTTCACCCCTCCCCTTCACCACCTTCCCTCACCCCTCCCCTTCACCCCCTCCTTCACCCCCTCCCCTTCACCCCTTCCTCTCACCCCTCCCTTCACCCCCTCCCGTTCACCCCCTCCCTTCACCCCTCCATGTTACCTCATTATTGTTGTTTCTCACAAATATACTCTCAGAGATCAGACATGTGACAGTGTCTTTGTTAGTCAGCCAGGCGCGTCCTTGCCAAACTTCTGGAGATATTTAGAAGTATTGGAATTTAGTTATACATAGCGTAGGGAAAACAGACCGTGGCAGGGGTCTCATGAGTCTTTTTAGTAGTGTGTGTGTGTGTGTGTGTGTGTGTGTGTGTGTGTGTGTGTGTGTGTGTGTGGTTCTCTCGTAATGTTTCTGAGTCTAAGCCTACAACGTATAGTAATAATTCAAGGCCTTTTATGAAATATTTAGAGAATACATCACAAGGAAACCAACCATGTGTAGAAACCTAGACTGGTTGTGGTGGTGTGGTGGTGGTGTGATAGTGCTATTTGGTGGTATTCGTGATGCTAGTTGTGATGGTGGTGGTGGTGTTTAATAATAGTGATGGTGGTGGTGGTGTGGTGTTGTAGTGATGGTGCTGAATGTGGTGGTATTCGTGATGCTAGTTGTGATGGTGGTGGTGGTGTTTATAATATATGATGATGGTGGTGGTGGTGGTGCAAGTTCAATTAAATTTCCATTAAGTCTTTCTTTGATCGTCTCCACCAAAAGAACCTGTGATTGTGAACACCCACTTTGAAACCTTCAAATTCTAATTCAACTGTGGATCTTAATTAAAATCCTGGGCTTTAGGGCCTGGTAGGCCGCGTTTGAGTAGCATCAGGGAGGAGGCTGAGTCCGACCTTGTACTCGAGATATTTTTTGAGGAGAAAGGAAAGGAGAGGAGAGAAAGGGGAAAGAAAGAGAGAGAGAGAGAGAGAGAGAGAGAGAGAGACGACCATCTCCAGCAGGTATGAATGAAGAGGCCAAATGAGACTGTGGTATATAGTTGTGGTTGTTACAGGTTGTGGTAGTTTTAGTAGTCATAGTGTGGTAGTTGTTGTTCTTGTGGTAGATATCGCATATTAGTAGTCAACCGTGTGGATGTAACTAGCAGTGACAATTGTTATCGCTGAGGTTAAAGACACAGCGTTAACGATGTACTTTACTACCAAACAGCCCTTAACCTCGACCTACCAGTTAACGGAAAGACTCGCTTAACTTGAACTCGGACAGATCACTGGTTGGTAAGTCTTTGTTTTAACCCAATGCATTTTTACAGGATTTTTTTTTTTTTTATTTTTTTTTTTTTGGGGGCTGATAGTGCCAACGGTGCCAAGCTGCCGAAGACAATACCGGGCGTGTAGATGTGTTTGGAGAGAGAGAGAGAGAGAGAGAGAGATGATCTTAGTTACAGAATACCTTTAGAAAGACGACAGTGCCAGACAGTGTCGTTACCTGCAGCCTGAGAGCCAAATGCCTCGGTATAAAGGCTCTGTACCTGCAAATGGTTTACCTGAAGAGATATCACCTGTCCCCCCCACCCCTCCCTCTCCCTATAACCCCCACCTGATTCTTGTATCACCCTTCCCACCCCCCGTCACCCCTCACCACCAGTCATCAGCAATCTTAAACAGACAGACACAGACAGACACAGACAGACAGAACCAGACAGAGGTGTAGTGGCCAAGGCAAGGCACCACCACTCAAATATTTCCTGGGTGCCACCGTTTCCTCCTGATGACTGGCCAGAATACCTGTACGTGCCTCTGGTCAGGTGTGGTGGTGGCAGTAATAAAAGGTAGTGGTGATACTACTACTACTCCTCCTCCTCCTCCTCTCCTCCTCCTCCCTCCCCTTCCCCTCCCCTCCCCCCTCCCCTCCCCTTCCCTCCCCTCCCTCCCCCTCTCCTCTTCCCTCCCCGTAGTGCCACCTGAGACCACCACATCTATGGCACTCCTAAAACAGTCCTTAATCCACCTAGTGTGTGTGTGTGTGTGTGTGTGTGTGTGTGTGTGTGTGTGTGTGTGTGTGTGTGTGTGTGTGTGTGTGTGTGTGTGTCAGTCTCTCCCAGCTTCCGCGGTCATCACATCGATATTTACCTCACACTTCCTGGCTTTGTGTGTGTGTGTGGCTGTGGACGTGTGTGTGTGTGTGTGTGTGTGTGTGTGTGCGTGTGCGTGTGTGCGTGTGTGTGTGTGGCTATGTACGTGTGTGGGGGGGTGTGTGTGTGTGAGAGAGAGAGAGAGAGAGAGAGAGATCACTATGAAAATCTTATATAGGAAGTTGCAGTATCTTGAAGAGTTGGATTAAAACTAACCTAACCCACTCCTAACCACTTACGTTAATTATTAAAACATAATAATATATCATCGTAAGAGTCTACTGTAGTTTATGCCCTTTATTTAGTGTCTCCCGGCAGAGGACCCCCCAGCTATATATATGTAGTCAACCTCAAGTGCTCTCTGGCCCTCCCAATACATAAACAATAATGAAATACCTTGACTCCTGCTTTAATTTTCTGTATCTTTTCTTCATTAACTCCCACTGTGTTTGGCAGAGCAGGAAGTCATGTGGGTGATGGGGTAGGCAACGAAGCTCTCGACAACAACAACAACACAAATAAGTAGTTGTTTTCTTAGGATTCTTGCTTCGACAACACACAACACATAAATTGGTTTAAATAAAATATCGTTGATTCCAAGAAGTTGATTATAAATATAGCCTTCCATCCTATGCAACATTCTTCAACCATCTATACTATTATCGTAAACTAGCTGAAGAGATCCATCCATTCATCCTTCCTACATCACTAGCTCATCCATTCCATTTTCCATCCATTCCACAACTCCTTTCCACCCATTGGTACTCACCCTGCCGTATATACCCAGAAAGTCGGAGTAATTGGGAAGGAAGTCCTCCCAATGTACTTCTTCAGCTCCCCAGCAGGTAGTCGGCGTCCTGCTTCCGTTCCTCGTTGTTCTTGACGTCTGCGTAGTCTGTGGTGGCACGGGCAACCCACGTTAATTAGGGGTTGAAGGGCAGAAGGGAAGGGGAAGGAAGGTGTTGAAGGGGAGAGGGAACAGGTTGAAGTGGAGGAAGAAGAGGAGAGCAGGGGGAAAAGGGAAGGAGAAAGGGCAGGGGAAGGGAGAAGGACAGGGAAAGAGGTTGAAATAGAACGGAAAAAATTGGAGGGAGGAAGGCGGGGGGGTAGGGCTGGAGGGGTGGGGGGGTGGTACATGGGTGGGAGGGATGGTGGGATTAGGGGGTAGAAAAGGAAACCTCTCTGAGATGAATAGAGTAGAGGCGAAATATAGAGGTAGGCGGATTTGTTGTGTACTGAGGAATGGAGATAGGAATAATTTAGCTAAGGGGTAAGGGAGCTAAACGAAAAGAGAAAGGGAGGAACGACGTTTAAGGGACAGTAGGGGAGGAAGGGTGGATGTTGTATGGGAGGCAGAGGTGGTTGGGGATAGATGACCTAGCAAGAGTTTTATTGGTATCAAGATCGACATAGGAAGTTGGATCATTCACTAGATGTATTTTTAAAGGAATCCACAGTCTCGCCGGGTGGGTCCTGGGTAATAGAAGTAATATTGCTTTAAATATTTCAAGAGGGATTAAGGAGACGGACATTTTAATCTAGAGGAAGATATATTCTGTGCAAGAGGAAAGGTGTTGAATGCCAAAGGAACGTCCATGAATATTCAAAGGAAGGATTTGAATGCACTGGGGAGGCCTTTGCATGTTTTCAAACGGAGGGTCAGTGAATGTATAGAACGTTTGGATCCTCGGGTTGTTGAATGCAGGAGAAGGTTTCTGATTGTTGGGAAGGTCTCTGAATGTTGGGAAAGGTCTCTGAATGCAAGGGAAGGTCTCTGGATGTTGGGAAAGGTCTCTGATTGTTGGGGAAGGTCTCTGAATGTTGGGGAAGGTCTCTGAATGTTGGGGAAAGGTCTCTGAATGCAAGGGAAGGTCTCTGGATGCTGGGGAAGGTCTCTGAATGTTGGGGAAGGTCTCTGAATGCAAGGGAAGGTCTCTGGATGCTGGAAAGGTCTCTGAAGCAATGCAGCAACTTCG